TGGTAAAGGTGATGGTGTATTTGAGGAGGTCGTGGTGGTGATTGTTGATACAGGCAGTGGTGGTGGTACTGTGGTGTGGTGATGGAGTCAGCAAGGTTTGGGGATTTTTTGTTTAGGTGATGGTTGTGGTGTGGTGTGGTGTGGTGATGGGATGGGATGGAGGTAGATGTGATGGTGGTTGTGATTGTTGGTACAGACAATGGTGGGGGTGGGGGTGGTGGTGCTGGCTATGATGATGATGTGAGATGATGGTGGTTGTGGATAGGTGGTGACGGCGGCGATACTGGGGTTCGGGTTGAATAGAGTGGGTTTGGGACCAATTATTTAAGTGATAGTGACTAGGGCTATCGATTGATTGGATTTTGATCCGAAATTGATGAAATTAATGGCAGGTGAATTTAGGATTTCGGTCCGATAAAGAGATTAAGATTCGAATCCGATAATTCGTTATCTAAACGGATTAAATATGTATATAGATCAATTCGATCAGATAACAATTCAATTCGATTTGTTATAAATGGTTGAGTCAGTTAAATATTTTTATGACATGTTATTTGTCACTAAAATAAAAAAATTTAGAATAAAAAAATCATCACATTCAAAACATAAAAAAAGTAAGAAAGTCAATACACGTATACACAATGTTTTAAAAAACGTAATACGTGACGAGGCGTGGAAGTTTCAAGCTAGCGAATCTAGACAAAGTGAGTAAAAAAATATAAAAAAGTATTTTTGTATCATTTTAATTTTTTAATCAATTCAAAAATTATTTAATAATACATACAAATTATAATACCAATGCAGTTTTAAGAGCTTAACAAAATAAATATATTCGATTGGTGTTAATTGAAATATTTGGAGAGTTTTCATTTTTTATTAATTAGTAAATGATAGAGAAAACGATTAATTTAATAAAATATAGATAATTATTTATATAATAATATGATACACTATAATCAAATTAAATGTACGATACACTACTACCAAACCAAATGTACAATGTACTACAACCAAACCAAATTGATTATTATTCCATATCGTAAGTTTTTAATAAAATGTATATCCTCTATGATAAACAATTTTTTGTACATTTCAATCTAAGTGGCTAAAAGTTAAAAAAAATGAAAATTTATAATTACTAAACGTGTTTAAGAATTGGAAAAATTGGGGAAAAAGAGAGTAAATTTTAACATTGATTTTATTTTTCTAATTTCTTTGATTTCGGATAGGATCCGATAATATAACACTTCAAATATGAATTTAACAATTAAATATCCGTTGAATTATCAGATCGAATATTTATTCTTATTGGATCATATCAGATATAGGTTGATCCAATTCGTATCTGATTCATTTATAACCCTAATTATGACCAATAAATTGACTAATCTGTGACACATTAAATAATATGTGATCGATAAAATAAATAATTTGTGATCAATAAATAATATATTAAATTAAAAAGGTGAAAATTTGACTAAATTTGTAATCGTGGCCCATAATTTATTAAGTTATGAGTAGTTAACTTGATAATTTGTGGTCGAAGAATAATTTGTGATCAATTAATTTGATAATTTGCGATCGAAAAATATTTTATAACCTGTAAAATTTGTGATTTATGATCGAGGAATAATATGTGACTTATTAATTTGATAAATTATGACCGATAAAGAATTGTATTATATAAAATTTGTGATTTGTAATCGAAAAATAATACGTGATCAATTAATTTGATAATTTGTGATCGATAAATAAGCCACAACCTATAAAATTTGTGATTTGTGACTGTAATGTCTGTAATTGTGATTAGTACATAACCATAATCATAAATTGTATAATATTGGGATTTTAATATATTTAATTAATAGAATTTAAATAAAACCTGATTTTTGAAATAATAAAATTAATTTCTTAATTTTGAAATTGTATTTTGCTTTTTGCAACAACCTTGTATATGTAATGTTTCCATACAAATTTTGATTTGGACTTTGGGCAATATATTACTGGGCCATCCGCTTCAAACCAATCACATCATTGGGCTTCAATTCACTAGGCCCATCCCTAAGGCCTCGAACCACCTCACCAAATCCGCTAGGTGGTCCATAGGCTGCCCAAAACTTGTGACCCCTTTGAATTTGTTTGGTTCACCATCTCGATCAAGTAGATAGGGTGGCTTTCGAGGAATTTTATAACGGGAAAATTTTGTATCTATCGTCATTTAAATTTGGAAAAAAATTCATAAATAAAGTGTTTAGTTTACATCAATTCAAAAATCATGTTTATAGTTTGAAAATTAAAAAATCAGGTTTTTTTTTTTTTTTTAAATTCTAATATAATAAATTAACCCCACATGCACCACCCTTACTGCTCCAGTAACTATTCCGGCGAGCATTCCGGCGATTATTCTGACAATCATTCCAATCACAGATTTATAATTTAATTAATCACATATTATTTTTCAGTCATAAATAATAATTTTTATACGTCACAGATTATTTTATGGTCACAATTCAAAAATTTTATAGGTCACATTTAATTGGTTGGTCACAGATTTCAAAATTAGTTGGTCACATATCAAAATTTATAGGTCACACGGTCACAGATTTCCAAATTAATTGGTCACAGATTTTTTACGGTCACAGATTTTATAATTTTTAGGTCACAAATAAAAAAATGGTTAATTTCATTGGTCACATATTTTCAAATTTGTTGGCCACAGATTATTTTTCAGTCACACATTGTCAAATTTTTAAGTCACAATTAAATACTTGGTCACAAATAACCAAATACTTGGTCACATACCACTAGCACTACTTCAACCACCATCACCACACAAAACACCGCCACCACCCACAGCCACCAAACAAAGCATCGCCACCATCCTAACCTACCAACCCACCACACACTCCAGACTGGTCAAAACCCACAAACCCACGCCGCCAATACCACCGCACCCACAGCGCGCAGACACACCCACCACCACCGCAGCATTCAGCAACAGACTATCAACACCACCACCAACCAGATCTGAACCCACCACACACAACATCTGTAGTCAAACACTACATCCACTCCGCCGGCTGCCGTTCACAGCACACACACCCACCCACTGAACGGCAGTCGGCAGCTGCGAACGGCACACACTCCGCGAACGGCGCAACCAGATCGAATATCACAGTGCACCAGATCTCGCAGCACCTCTCATCGAACAGCGGAGTGAAAGAGAAACGGTGGGACGCAAGGCTTCATCGACTGCGCTCCCAGTGACGGCTTCCGATGGTGTCTTCGGCGATAGCTTCCAGATCACCGCAAAGCGCACCATCTCCACAGCACCGACACCGGCTGTAGCAAACGACGCAGAGGAGGGCTGTTGTTGGTGCTGTAGCAGGTGACGCAAAAGAGGATGAGGGAGAAGAGAGGAGCGTCGATCGCCTGAGCAGCCTTTCACTTGTTGTTGACGGATCTGCCGAAGGGAGAGGAGTGAGAGAAGGAAGAGAGAAAGGAAGAAAGAAGAGAGAGGCAAGATGGGGATAAATGAATTGATAAAAATGATTTAGGGGTTGGGATTGGGTAGGGTGTGAATAATATTTAATTTTTAAATCAATACCTGAATTTTGATTAAAAAATATTCTCACCTGATTTTTGCACTCTAATATTTAAGTACCCGATTTTTTATAATTTCCCTTGAAATTTTCATTTTTGTGTCCACAATACATATGCAAATGTACTAAGTGTATGACGAATTAAAAAAAAATGGAATTGATGTTCTATATCGTTACTGCTTAACGATGTTTAATAGATTCTATCTTGTATATACACATGACTTTTTTCATATTTTAAAGTGAGAATATTAATAGAAAACATGTTCTTATCGAATCTATCTTCGGGGCAAGCTAGTTCCATTTATGTAATTTTTTTAATTCTCTTCTCATTAATTACAAGCTTGGATCTTCTTTTAAAAGGGGAGAAAACCGCGCTTCAACCTTCAGTCTAATTATTTACGTGTTTATTTTCTCAATTTTGACTTATTTCTTCAATAAGAATTAAAAAAAAAAAATCCCTAATACAATATGGAAATGTTTCGACTAATATCTTAATATTTAGGTGGACAGTATAAAAAGACATCATTGCATATTTTTTATTTTCGACATTATTCACGTTTTTCGTATTTTATTTTGGTCCAAGTCCAATTGTATGATGTGGATCCAGCACTACACTTTACTTGGGAGCTTATCCACAATTGACTTTGACCAATTCTTCTCATGAATTTAGTTATATTTCCATTCTATTTTTTCCTCTTCGTTTATCCCAGACCGAGTAATAGAGGTGTCAAAATGAACAGAGGGGAGTTAGCTGACCACATCAATTAAAAAATAGATTCATTTAAATTTACTAATGCAACTGGAAGACATGAACTTGGATCCATGTATACTAGGTGAGAATACAGAGAGATTTCGAGTTCGTTATCTCAAGGCCTAGAATACTCAAAATACAAACTCGATTCCTATAATACACAAGAACAAAAAGATTCGCAGACTATAGCTCTTTCGATTTGGACAAATGAACCAAAACGATAGCAACAAACACATTTAATTCGCGATTTTCACTCAAAAATAGAACACGTGACATCAAGTGAATGGACTTAGTTATCGATTAACATACATTTTTCAAACACTTGAGATGGTTGTCATCAAGAATGTCTTGAAAGAAACAGAAAGGAAAAGAAGTGATTATTTTCAATTAATTCCTTGAAGGTCTTTTAGAGCTTCATGCTCCATTTTAACCAATTGGACATATAAAATGAAGTCTTTAAAATGCATTTCTACAATCAATCGAAAGGGGAAAAAAACGTCTGTCCAGCTTTGAATAGGTAAATGGAAATAAATAGAGGCAGTTGAACGCATGCAAATCATGCGTCAAGAATCGGAAAATGAGCTTGATGATGCCAAATCTTGCAACCTGGACATCAGTTCTTAGCATGATCGTGTAAGAGAAATGTACTAGGCGTCATACTTGCAGAGGTTCTCGAATCCCATGTATTCATGTCGCTCAATCTTTCCAATCATATTTGAAATCCCGACTCCACCTGATTAAGCAAGAAATAGCAAATAAAAAGAGCGCGAGTGAAAAAAAAAATGTAAAAGCTTGTTACCAAATCAAGTGTAAGTTTGGCCTGGCGAGGAATTTATCACAGCCTGGGAAATACAAAAGTAAAATCCCCAAGCATCGATAATATTAATCATTGGGTTGAACCACCATCATCTAAAACCTCAAGAGCGTGTTTGATACACAGTATTGGATAGAATTGAACAATATAATATACAAATGGTGCATATGTTAGGATCTTGAATAAAATAAATAAATTTGATTTGTTCGTGAGGGGAAGTGAGATGGTTCAACATTATGTGACAACGGGGAATGGAAACACTCACCTAGAGAGATTGCACTGATAAAGATTGTGGATGCTAAAATAAAGATGATTATGGATGCCCTTCCCATCAGAATAATCGCCTTTCTCACAACATGTTGCCCGACAAAAGCAGCAACAGTTGCAACAGCAACCAAGTAAAGCGCTGTCATACAAATGCCGAATAATTAATCAATTATAATGAAAATTTACTTATTTTCAGTCAAACCAATATATTATTGAGACAAAATTGTTTGAGTTGGATGTACACTTACCATAAGGAACTGGAAACCGTTTCAAGAGGTAATATTCTATGACTGACATTGATGAGGAGAACATCATGGCAAAGGTGGCTGTGGCACTTGAAACCTAAAATGAAGTTTGGAAACTATTATCACCAGGATTCTTAAAAACGTAAAAGATAAAGTGTAATATGGCTTGTTTTGTCCACTTGTAATAAACCGAATAAAGGCAAAGAAAGAATCAAAACTTTTGAAGATTCTTTCTATGATTGAGTAAATATTGAACGGTATGTCAAGATTCAATTCTAGCTTCATTCAATGGAAATGAATAAAAATGGCAAATTGTTCTGGGACTCAACTGTGAATCAGTCACGGAATATGCCAGTTAAATAAATTTTTCTGCTTATTTATTTAGATCTAGAAGTTGATTATGTCTACTTTGCTTGCTATTAATTTATCTATAAGGATCAATGGATCATTCTTTTATTTTTTATTTTTTTGCTTATTAACCAAACTAATTCATTTCAATACATGTTAAGGCTATAAGTGCAAAGAGATAAAATCAGGTCCAAAGTAAACAATCTCACCCTTAGCATTTTGGCGGAAGCTTCAAAGGTTTACTTAAAAGTAAATAAGTTCTTAATAATAAATAATTTTTTTTTATTTGTTAAAGTTAGAAATAAGTTTGGAAAGTAATGCAAGAGTTACTTTCACGACAAATAACTTTTTTTACTTAAAAGTAGGAAATTATGCAAAAAACAAAAAGTTGACTAAAAGTAACTTTTACTTTCGTTTTAAGCTTAGCCAAAAATGCTCACAGCTCACTATAAAGAAAATGCTTACAGGCCTTTCTCATGTAAATCACTTAATTGGATTACTCAAAGAACAGATAATAAGATCACAACATTTGGTATCAACTTAGACAAAAAAAAAGTCTGCTTAGTAGCATTATAGGAAGGGCTAAAACTAACCTGAGGAGGGATTCCTAACTCCAAAAACAGTGGACCCATTATAAATCCACCTCCTAGACCAAGAAGCCCACCTACCAAACCAGCCACTACGCCGAAGAAGCAATAGGTAATCAGTTGATGCACTTGCAAGTTGGTTCCGGAGTCACCCTTGGACGCAATTTTTCTCCATCCCTTGTAAAGGCTGATTGCTTCATAACCAGATACGCCAAGAGAGACGGGGATCTGTAGAAACATGAAAGGAAATTGGCAAGGATATGCTAAAATCTATCTTTCAACTATTTCAAGTTCATTATGTTTGTCAAAAAATACCACAGCTTTTTGAGGGTTGGATACACCTGTAGTTACAGATCTCTTAGCGAAATTTCAAGTTGGCTTTATTTTTTTTCGAGTTTTTCAAGGAACTTAAACTTTGTTACACTTTTGGGTTGATATGTTCATGTTCTTTAATTTCACTAACAGAGAAGGTGACGTGGATGTCTAGTTATTTTCTAACTAAGCTATCAACTAAATTGCCACGTCAGCTTAGTCAAACTAATGAACATGGACGGAATTATCAACTTGTAACAAATGTTTTCAGCAACCTGCTTTAAATAAAGAATGATTTTATTGAGAAGCTTGGAACATAATGAAATTTAATGACCAATATGAAATTTCACTAAAAGATCAGAGACCACTATTGTCTTTAGCCAGCCTATAGTATTTGTCAGAACACCAAGCCTTGGGCATAAATTTTATCCCAAGTTTGATGAAAATATGTACAAAATAAGCATACACACCTGCAGCAAGTTCACCACCCAGTATAATGCCGTACAAGTAGTCGTATAGTTCTGTTTCAAAACGAGGCCAGTCAATTTGTTAGTACAAGTTCAAGACACTCCAACAGAAGCATTTTCAGAGAACGTAATAGCCAAAGAAAAGTAGTGAATGAAAAGAAACCTTCGTGATCTGCAGCACAAGAAATGCAATCCAAACAAAAACAACAAGCCAAAATTCCTTCCAATAAACATTTTCAAGAATAGAGACCTGTGAATGTGATAATTAGAATTACCTCAGAGAATTCAGAATCGGACATCATCATCTAAAATAAATTTTACCTCAGGTTCAGCCAAGTCTTTGGCCTCCTTTTCCGTGCCATTGCTGGGGCCGCCAGGAAGAAGCTTGTATTCTGCTTCTTCTGTATCATTGCCTAACGCAAAAGGAAGGGCGCATACTTTAATTTAAAGAGAGAACCAAAAGCCAAAAAGAGATATATATATATTTTTTTTAAAGCCAGTCCTTTAGGACAGAAAGAAGAATCTGTAAATCAACTCACCTTTTACCTTCGACCTCTTTGCAGCCTCCTAAAGACAGAAAAATGATTGGTAATAAGCATGAAAGAGAAAAGACAAGCAGTTATGGAAAAGGACGCTAAACGTATATATTACATGTTATTCTTTTCACGGTTTAAGTATATATAAATTCATTGATGGATTCATGTTAGAAAAATTACATAAAACATCATCCTAGCATATGATACCACGATGAGACTATGTTTGGCTAAGCTTAAAAAAAGTAAAAATTACTTTAATAAACTTTTTGTTCTCTAACATGTTTGAGTATGTTGCTTCTTTTCTTACTTAAAAGAAGTTAGTTATTTTGAAGGTAACTCTTACTTTGCTGTAAAATATGTAACTATCCAATCAAAATATTATTTATTTGTAAGGGAACTTACTTATACATAAAACTTTTTAGTCTTAGACAAACATGCTTTAAATTTTGTGACACACTGATAGACTTTTCTTGCATATGTTGTTCATCATCCACATGCACATTGAATTTTACGACTACCTTTTTCATGATAGTTTCTTTCTTCCATGTCTCGACGCCTCTCATAAAGGCCTTGGTCGATGTGCCTGTAACCACCAAATAAAGTAAAAAAACTGCACAAAATGAGGAGTCGTAAAAAACTGCAATGTGACCACTCATTACCTATGAAGAGAATGATTAAAAGAACAGTAATTATCCAATCGGGAAATATCACATTGAAAGCAACTCCAATACTAATGCCTAGCATAAGCATTGGTTGGATGAGAACAACCAAGTCGTAGTCAATAATGGGCATGTCAATTGTGGGATGCCTGAGCTTAAGATTGTAGTAAACAGTCGAGACGGAAGCTCCCATAATCATACCTGACAAATCAGAAACAGCATTTCTGTAACTTCATTTAAGCGCGAAGAAATTTAAGTAAATAAAGAGAATTATAGAATTATGGAGTTTGTAAACGGAACATAAAAACTTATATAATTAAGCAACTGGCCATCTATTTATTATCTCCAACAGAACATTTTTTCTTTTGTTCCCAATAAATATGAGCCGGTACAACTATTACACAGTGAATATTGTGCTATCATCGAGTGACAGTGCTTCAGCCCAAACCAAAGAATCCCTTAGTTAAAGATGATTGAATGGTTGGTAAAGAAGTTAAACATAAAGTTTCCCAAAAACTTGGACTTGCTTCTTCTGTAGCCACAATATTATAGGGTAAAGTTATGAAATATGCAAGCAGTCGTGACTTGTGATGGCTTCTAACACAAAGTTTAGCTTCTGTAGCTGAAAATATTTGCAACCAAAAATTGAAGGCTATTAATGAAGTCTCAACTAAGAAAATGTTTGGCTAAGCCCAAAAAAAAGTAAGAGTACTTCTTTGGAAAGTAAATAAAGACTTGCTTTCGTAAAAGTTAGTTTCCGAACCAAAAATCCCACAAAAAGTAACTTCTGAAAGGTGGACACATCTTTATAGGAAAAACTCCTTAAAAGTACTTCCACTTTTTAGACTTAGCCAAATATGCTCTAAATTTATTCTTCACAGAACTACAAGGTAATGCAGTAATTGCCTTGTCAAATGTGAATCAGTTCAATCAACAGAGAACAGTAATTATACTCAACACATGACACCAAGAATATCTATATGTTCTGGGTTATTAGTTATATCAATATGCTCATCTCTCACATTTTGATATAGCAGTTGCTGATTTTGGATCGAATCCAATAATCAGGGTGAGCATAGGGACGAATATGCCTCCGCCACCAACGCCACCTACACTCCCGAAGGCTGCTCCACAAAATCCAATGATGCTCCCAACGATAATTTTCCATCCAAATTCCAGATCCTGTACATTACATCCCAAATTAACAAATACAAAAAATCTTCCATATCACATCAAAAACAAAAAAGACATGGTTATCCACAAGAAACGAAAATTTTTCCGTCCACGCACAAGTCAGCACACATAAACATCATGTAAGTTCTCAGCTCCGTAGCACAAGTAAAATTTGTCCCATACTACTCTTGGGGTCAGATGCAGAGGATTGATACTACAGAGTACGGAATTACTTAAAAGATCCTTAAATATATTCTTTCCTCTTCGTACATCTACATAATTCATAGCCATATACATACGCTCCATGAAAAATTATACTGTACAAAGTGCACAATCACACAAACACATTCTTAGCATAAATTATTGGAAACATATACAACTTTTCTTTTGGTTTTATCCACTGTGATCCACATGATGTATTTATTGATTTTGTCTATTGTGGTCCACGTGTTGAGTAAGCTGAACATTACTGTGCTTCCATAGCAAACCACCAACCATATCATTTAAGGCTTCACAAAAACATATTTTATCATGCAAAGATCAAAAGGTAAAAAAAAATGAACACCGAGTCAGATTGGATCAAAGCTGAAAACTCAAAATTCAAACAACAGAAACTGAATGAACGAATGTGATTTACCGGCCAAACATGCTGGTAGCCTGATTTATTTGCTTGCCATAAGAAATTCGTGAAAGCTGTAAATAATTGTGAATCTGAATTTGAATCATTTGATGAAGATTCTGTCTTCGAGCTTCTTTCGGCAGAAACAAAAATTGAAGCCAACAAAAAGCTACATATAATTGTAAACAATGGCCCAAAAGCCCTCCACTTTTCTTGATTCCACTCCATTCAAAATCCAAAGTTTCCACTTTTGGTTCCCAAGAAAGCTTATTTAAGACAGTTTGAGCTCTGTTTTCAAAAGGATTTCTTTCTTTATGTGTGTAATTCTGGATTTTTGCTGATTTTGCAAAAAGAAAACAAATCTACAAGGCGTTAGGAGGGTCAATGGAGAAATGAAATGGTAAGAAATCTGTGGATAGAGAGGATTCTTTTATATGAAAGAGTGCGAAAATGGGAAAACAAAATTTGAAGCAAAAGAATTGAATGGCTCAAGTTGAAGTGAACGATGGCTTAACTGGATATAAAAAAAGAGACGAGCACATATACAGGAGAATAGTTGCAAGCACTAAACGACACAGTTTTAAAGGTTGATGACTACTCCTAACTGAGGTATGCTTGGATTTCGTCTGTGGGGAAGAGTCTTTATGATTCACACACGTGTGAATTTTTCCCTTGGCCCGATTAATCCTTCAATCATGGGTTTGGTGAGTTAATATTAATCTTGATTAATTATATGTTTATCGAGTTAACTTTTAAGTAGTTGCGGTGGCTGGGTGCAGGTGGTCTTTAATGGATAGAAGTAAATATCAACAAAATGTCAGATTAAATTAGAGTTAAGCCCATTTTACAGTGGAGTTTGTCTCAAAGAATGTCAGGTGGCTTAATTGCATTGAATTTTGGACAAAAAAATAGATTTAAACATACCAATGTACCCACATAGGATAGAAACAGTAGGAGGGGTGGGTGGGTAGAAAAATCATTTCTTTAATCACATGGGACCCACCCCATGTGAGTAAAATTCAAAATTTTTGTGAAAATTTCGTAGAAAAAATCTCTACTGACAGCATTTTTGAGCCAAGACAGTAGAATTGTGGGAGCAAATTTCACAAAATTTCAATTGCGTAGGCAAAATTAAAAATTAAAAGAATTTTTACTTGAAAATCTTGAAAAATATAGCGCAAAATCTTGGATTTGAAATTTAGTGTAGGGGCAATGGCCTCCAATGTAGATCTGCCCATGCATTCATTAAATTAAGCCAATGCTTGAGCCCTATCTTTAAAAACTCATTTTCGGTAACATATTTTTTCAATAAAATAATTTTATACAAATATTAAAAAAATTCCTATTTTCAAGCACATATTTTATAAAAGAATCATTATTCCAAAATTTATTTCCAACGGAGCCTAAAATTATTATTTTAAAACTGTTGACGTTAAAGGACTCATTAATAATTTGATTTTGAATGAATGGTTTTGGTTTGAATTTCGAAATCTTAATTATGTATAAGACTACACCAGTCTTTAATCACATATTTCCTGAAATTCATCAGCTTATAATCTCAAAAAACTTTATCAAACACGAGTTTTGCTACACAAACATAATACTTGACATATGGAATAACACAACGCACACACGGGGAGGTCAGCATTATTTAATTCAGATCAGGACCTAATGCAATGTGAGTGGTCGGTCAACCCCTGTGTCAAGAATTATGTTCATTTAGATTAATTCATCAAACACGGGCTAAAATTTAAAATTGGAGATAGAAATGCAACTCATTACTGCTTAATTTTAGATGCACGTGGGTTTACATTTGATAATTTCAATGTTTTTTTTTTTTATAATTTCAATGTTTAAGTGAGCTAATATTCGACAAATTAGATGTTTGGTTAGCTAATATGTGGTAAAGTCTATGCATAATGTTTGACAAAGTTATATGTTAGCCAAATGATTGGAGTACCATATCACTTAAATAATTGTTTAAATCTTGTCTGTGCTGGAATAGAATCATCATTATTTGTTTATTTTTATTGAAGAATATTTTGAAGTAATTTCAATTTTCTTATTAATTTTTGAGAACTAGCAAATCACTACATTCTCTCTCTCTCTCTCTCTCTCTCTCTCTCTCTCTCAAAATGGATTTGGAAAATTGGGTTGTTTACTTTTGCGAAAATCTCTTTTTGCTCTTTTATTCTTCTAAAGTTTATGGGTTTTTCCACTTGTACATCAAGTAGTGTACATCAAGGACTACACCCCCTCATATGGGGAGTGGGGTCCACTCGAATAATATTTTTTTATTCGAGTGGACCCCACCCTCCATGTGAGGGGGGTGTAGTCCTTGATGTATACCGTGATGTACCGGTAGCATCACCCAAAGTTTATATCATTCTATTATTTTTTTTTCAAAAAAGAAAAAAGAAAAATGGAGGTTCGGATGCAATAGTACAATTTTTTTTGAAATATTTTTTTGCAATGAGGGAAATTTTTTTTCAAACGTATTAATTGTTTCTACTAACTTAGAGTCTCGACTTGAATATCTAAAATTGGAAATTTTATATACATTGTACTCTCTATCGAATAATAGCAATAACAAAAATATACATCCCCATAAATATAATGAGTATTATTGTTGGTCACAAAAGACGTATGGAACAAATTTGCCATTGGTTTTGTTAAAAATTAAATTTTTATTAGATTTTGATCAAATTTGAGAAAATATATTGTTGAAAAATTAATAAAAATTGTGGATCTCATAAAGTGTATGATTAAAAATGAGTTTAAGGAAAAATAAAAACTATCGGAATAATAACCCAAATAGTCACTGAATTTTGTAAAATGTTTTTACTGATCACTAAACTTTAAAAATCACTTCATTCACCACTCAACCTTGCAATTTGTAACCCAATTCATCACTGACCTCACGGTCCATAAAAAAATTGACGGAATGCTGATATGATTGCATACGTAGCTTGATTTATCATCTGATGGGTGCAAAATCAAAGAAGTGTTACACGAGTGGATTTTTTTGAAGTAAAATAAGTTTTTATTAGAATAACAATTTTTGAACTTTAGTTAAATGGGTTACTCGTCGCTTGTTCTCTCTCAAAAACGTAGAAGAAAATCCCCGACTCACCCACCTCGCGAAGAACCCTAAATCCCAAATCGCAATTCGGAACTCCTGCCTCGCAAATCGCAAATCCGGCTAAACATGCTTCCATCCCTCCGTCGTTCATCGATATGACAAGTTTTATTATTGTCTTCAAGAAAGGAGTCACGACAAGTGCTTCTTTGCACCACCATGGCTGACATTGAGCAACGATCAACAAGTAAGCAGCAATAACCCTTTCTTTTGTTCCTTTGCAACAAAATTTAGCGATGAAGATGATGATTTTTAAAGTTTAATGACCCCATAAATTTTTTTTTGCAAAGTTCAGTCACCATTTAGATTATTGTCCCCGTCAATTGACATAAGCAGCGTAAAAGTTGAACTTTGTGGAAGTGTATTTAATACATTATTTGATTTGCTCTATTATTTTAATATTAGTTATTTTGGTTAGTGTATAGTTTATAAATGCAGTGCGATACACACCGTCTGGCATTTATTACAATTAAAATATTTTGGTCCATGAATGATATCGTACTTGAATCTCACCTAATATGTATTGGCACGTTGAGCAAAAGTTATTATACATAACTTAGGAAGGTTAAAGGTTCGATATGCTCGTCAAAATTTCATTAGTCAAATAACAAAATTATTATACATAAGTCGTAGGAATGATTATTTTATCTCCGTCACGGCTTGTAGTACCACCATTTTCAATTTTCGTCTCATCGGCCTAAAACCTTTTTAAATCTTGTATGTAATTTATATTATACACACGCTCTTTTCATGCAATTGGCTACTTCGAAAGCGACTACCCCACAAAAATAAATACTTTAAAATACCTCTTCAATTTAGGGGCAGAGATTTTTCTAAAAAATTAAAACCAAAGAAATTTCTTTATTGTAATTTCTCAATGAACAATGATAAGCGAAATTAAATAAGTAATATAATTTCACCTTTAATTTAACTTATCATTTAACGCTACCTAAATTGGGATTATAACCCTAGTGGGGGATTCTTAAAAATTTTGATACATTTCTATCTCTTTTTTTAATTACACATTTTTCAATAAAATAATATTACGCGTTCAAAAAAAATATTATTCCAAAAATTAAAATCTCAAGTATGGAAACAAAGTCAAGTGCCAGGTTGAACACATGGGCATGTCTCATTTCCATGCGCCTACGCACTGAATTGACGCCCTCAACAAAGGAGTTAACGTTAGCTAACATAATGCTACTATTAATTAGTACCAGTTTGACGTTTATTATTCAATTTATTTGAAAACTTTTTTTATACTTATTTTTAATCACATATGTACATAAAAAAATATTTTGTACGTAAACTCAATTTTTTCTACATTTTAACTACGCATTCTCTTAAAAATCACTATTTAAAATATTATTTTTTTTCCAAAGAATGACCATCAAACAAGAATTTAGTTAAATCATTTTTTTTTTTTTTTTTGGTAGATCTCATCTTACGTTTGACATTGTAATTAAAATAAATAAATTGAAGAATGAAGAAGAAAAAAAATGAGTGAGACAAGATCCTTGTATTATGATAATTTTTTCCTTATCTCCAATATATATATAATTTTTTCCCTATCTCCAAACTATCACTTTAGGACACAAAAGTCTTTTTAAATGGAAATTATCCAAAATTTAGAATCAAGAATTTCGGACATAGTCATGTGCAAGGATAGGACCACGTGAAAGAAGAAAATGAATGGAAACTAAAGTAATTTGGACAAAATTCGTGCACGGACAGATTTTTGGACCGCGCCCTCCAAAATATTATAAATGGAACCCATTACATAGTTTTTAATACTAAAAGTTCTTTAAAAATTCAGGGACGTTTTCACAAAGTTTCTGCTCCTTACAGAAAGATTTTCAAGGAAGCTACCTTAGATCAACTAATCAGACATGTGATTTCTGTAAAATTATTCAAATAGACCCAATAAAAATTTCTTAATCTTAAAAGTAACTTTTGACTTTTTAAAAATCTTGTCAAACAAACTTAGTACCACCATTTTCAATTTAATTCTCGTCGGCCTAAAATCTTTTTAAATCTTGTATGTAATTTATATCCTATACACGTTCTTTTCATGCAATTGGCTACTTCG